TGCTGGGCACAGCGAGCCTGCTGAGGACAGCAAGCCTACCAGGGACAGCGAGCCTACCAGGGACGGTGAACCTGCTGGGCACAGCGAGCCTGCTGGGGACAGTGAGCCTACCAGGGACGGTGAACCTGCTAGGGACAGTGAGCCTGCTGGGGACAGAGAGCCCACCAGGGACAGTGAGCCCGCTGGGGACAGCGAGGCTGCTGGGGACAGCGAGCCCCATGGCCCTGCTGAGCACAGACACCTGCACCTGTCCAGCTGCCATGAGTGTTTGGAGCTGGAGAGCAGCACAATTGAGTCTGTGAAGTTTGCATCTGCCGAGGACATCCCCGAACTCCCCTATGATGCCAGCAGTGGTCCAAGGAGCACCTCCAATGGGCTTGGCCCCGAAAGTGAAGGCAGGAGAGACAACATGGTAGCAAAGGCGCCCAATATTCTTCTCTACATGGGCTCTGGCTCCCGGGACACCCCGAGCCGGCTGCAGGAGGTTCAGGCCCTCCTGGCAGACTGTGTGGACACCGACAGCTACCTCCTGTACCCACTGCTGGAGGACAGTGCTCGTAGGGACCCGTGGCTGGACCACTGCCCGCTGTTGGTCATTGTCACCAGCGAGCCCATCCCTGAGGACGTGTACCAGAGGTTCACTGCCTACCTTGCCCAGGGCGGGAAGGTGCTGAGCCTGTGTTCAAGCTTCCTGCTCAGTGACTGGCGGGTGACCAGGAAGGCTGCACTGCAGAGCACTGTGCAAAACCTGGTGTTTTCCAGGCTTGGCCAGGGCAACGTGAAACTCAGTGTGCTGAGTAGTGGTTGTGTCTACCAGGAGGACCCTGGAGAACCACTTAGCCCTGGCAGGCTGCAGGGCCACCTAGAGAACGAGGACAAGGACAGGGTGATCGTGCAAGTGCCTTTTGGGGCCCGTGGAGGGGAAGCCATTCTTTGCCAGGTACTGACGGGGCTTCCCTGGGCTCCCGGCCTCTGGCAGAGGGAGGGTGCCCACAAGGCTGCCCGTGAAGGTGTTAGGATTGGAGCCAGGGGTTACTCTGCCTGGGGCTGGGAGTTCCAAAGCTGAAGGAGGTTTTAGGGAATCTGCCCAACCAAAACACAAAAGCTGGGAGGATGGGACAGGATTTTTGCTGGTACTTAGCCCAGGACTAGTCAGAAAATTCTTGTTTTGGTCTTTACTGATAATAATCTTTCTAAAATATGTTAGTCTATTTTCTTGCTTCAAAGCATACCATGGCTGTTAATATCAAGTCTTTATTTAATATGGGAAATAGAAAGATTTAAGGTAGTCATTCTAAACAGCAGCAAACATCATGATAAAATATTGCAGTTGATTGGAGAGGTACTTAGTTTAAAACCATGCTTGAGAGCTGGGTGTGGTGGTGCACACCTGCAATCCCAGCGCTTGAGAGGCTGAAGCAGGAGGGTCACTGTGAGTTTGAGTCCAAAGCCAGCCTAAACTACATAGTGAGGCCTTGTCTGAAAAAACTAGAAACCAAACCAAAGCTAAACTAAAAATAGCAATAACAGCAACAGAACTGTCCTCAATTTTTTATGATTTATCACTCTTAAAATTGTAAGTGCTTATACCTATAATCCCAGCACATAGGAGACTAAAGCAGGAGGATCTCAAATTTAAAGCCAGCCTGGGGTATGAAGCAAAACCTTATTTCCCAAAACCAAAATAATATAAAAAAAAAAAAAAATCTTAACTGATGAGAATAACTCCAAATAAGAGAATGTTGAAGTGGCTTAGAAGAGATGGTGCATTTATACCTGGGTAGGGGAAAGTGGAAGGGTGTGAAGGAAGGTGCCAAAGGGCGCTGCCTGGAAGGATGTCCTTGGGTTCTGCTGCTTCCCTCCCCGTTTGCTTTTCTTGTGAGGAAGCAGTCACCGGTCTGACATCTTCAGCTTTTCTCACGGTTTACTGTCATCTCTGAAAGCCCAGGGAGTTTGTTAGTGTTGGTGTAGTGAGACGTCAGAGATGTGGGTGTTTGCCCGGAAGACTGGCAGAGATGGACACACTGGATTTCATTTTGTCCTCCGGATCTTTTTATCAGCTTAGAGAACGTCATAGTTCCTGTTTGGTTTCAGTTCCTGTGCCACCTTTTCAGCCTTCCTCTTAGGCGAAGCCCGTTGGTTTTCTGGCCAGATGTTCTTCTGATGTGCTGTGTAGGTTTGTTAATGCTGCAGCTGAGGGGGCTTAGTGTTTGGCATGTGGGCCTGAGGGTGGCCCTGTGCGTGGGCTTCTTGCAGGGCTGCAGACCACACCGGCTGCTGTGGGAGGCCTCCCATCGCCACTCTAGTCCTCTCACTGCAGTGCGGTCCCCATAGCAACCATGCATTCCGAGAAGCCACCTAAAAACCTGATTTCCTAGAGCTCTATTTCAATTTTGAACACCTTCCCCGACACACTGACTTGGACTCGAAAATTGGTTCAGCATCGTTGCAGTCCAGCTCTTGGAGTTACAGCTGTGCTGTTTAAACTGACCCTGTCACTGTCAGAAAATCTGATACTGCAGTGTATTGCCCAGGAAAAAGGCAGTCCAGCGTGGCTTTGCTAGTCAGATCCTGAGATTAGGGAAACATTTGGGTTTTAAATGACTTCCAGACTTGTGTGGCAGGGGTCCTGGTCTCTTCCCAGGCCTGCGTTGCTGCGACACCGTGCTGAGGTCAACCAGGAAATGCGATTACAGGCTGCTTCGTTTCCCTTCCTCTGCTCAATTTCACAGTCTTCATTTTTGTGACAAATCCAGTAACAGTGGAACCCCTAAGCGGTGGTGAGGCTCTGCAAGGACGAGACCAGCTGCACCCTAGGGGAGGTGTCCCAGCCAGCGCACTGCCTGCTGGTGATAAAGAAAAGGGAATCGGAAGTGTCCCTGTACTTGCGTGCTGGTCAGGTGTGCAGTGCACACTCACTGCAGCTTTGTGCTGGTATGTGATTATTGTGGACCCAGAGTTGGGGCAGGAGTTGTCCAGAGAAAGAGCCAGCACAGATTCGAGGTGTTCTGTGGACAGCCTGTGCCCTTCAGGGTGCTCAGCAGCACCCAGGTCTCTACCCAGTCCTCTCTAGTCTCTGTGTCCGGAGCTGGAGATGCTTTTAGTTAAGAAGCTTTGTTTCCAGGAGTCAGGTTACAGAGATTGGCTGTCACTATGGTAACAACAGGGCCAGCAGACTATGAGACTTCTGCCCAATACCATGAGAACCGGGGGCAGCCCTGCATGTGCCCCACATGCTGCTCTGTCCCTGCTACTGCGAAGATAGAGCCACAGTGGCTGTTCTTCCCACTGCCCTTGGAGAAGTGCCTAAATCTTTTTTTATTTTTATTTTTAGTGGTGTTGGGTGCTTAACACAGAGCCTCACACATGTTAGGCAAGTGCTCTGTCACTGAGTAAATCTTTGTTTCTGCCTGCCTGCCTGCCTGCCTGCCTGCCTGCCTGCCTTCCTTCCTTCCTTCCTTCCTTCCTTCCTTCCTTCCTTCCTTCCTTCCTTCCTTCCTTCCTTCCTTCCTAATTTCCTTCCTTCCCTCCCTCCCTCCCACGCATGGTCTGCCTATGTAGTTCAGGCTGTCTTTGAACTCATTGACTTATTGTATAGCCTGGACTAGTTTTGAATTGCAGCGATCTTCCTGCCTCAGTCTCCCAGGTGCTGGGATGACAGGTGTGTGCCACCACACCCAGTAACAGTTTTATTTTAACTGGATCGCACAGCCTGGACTTAACCCAGGGAACACCAACCCTCGGAACTCAGTCGGATGAGGGCGGTGCTAGGGGAGCTGCACCTTTGCTTCCCCATGCCTGAGCCTGCTTCCTGCTTCCCACACACATGGATGAGGCTCTGGCCTCAAGGCCACTGCATTTCAAATGTTTTAGCTTAGGACCAAGTGGAGCCACTTGCCCAAGGTCAGGTGGATGCTGGGTGATAGTTGAGGCCTGGAAAGGGTTGGTGACCCTCCAGGGTTGATCCCACCTTGGTCTTTTGAATGTTTTTTTATTATTACTTGGTGTTACTTTACAGATGTTCAGGTTCAGAGTTAATATTCTATTGATAAGGAGAACAGTTCATTGTCAAGTTCTTAGAAACCAGGGAATGAAACTCCACCCCCCTTTTTTTGAGAGAGGATCTTGTACTATCCAGGGTAGTTTTAAACTCTCTATGTAGCCCAGGTTGGCCTCAAATTTACAGTGACCCTCCTGCTTCAGCCTCCTGAGTTCTGGGAGCACCAGGCTAGGCTGATGAAACTTTCTCCTAGTGCTTGTGCTGATCCCTGATTCACCAAACGCATGTATCTTTTTCTCCAGGTGCACCTAGAACTACCTCCCAGCTCCTCTGTAGTGCAAACCCAAGAAGAGTTTAACTTGCTCAAGTCAAGCAACATGAGTCGGCATGAAGTCCTTAAGGATATCTTGGCCACCCTGGGCCTAAGCTGTGGTGCCCGACAAGCTCCTGCCTTAACACCTCTGTACTTACTGACAGCCACCGAGGTGAGTCTGGGCTCTTCGTGGAGCACGTACCTACCCAGGACCTAATCCATAATAGTCTTGTTTTTTTGAGACAGGGTCTCACTATGTAGTTCAGGCTGGCTTTGAGCTCACTTTGTAGCCCAGGCTGGTCTCAAACTCCCAGTGGTCCTCCTGCCTCAGCCTCACAAGTGCTGGGAGTGCAGGCATGCGCCACCATGCCTGGCTTGATTTCTGTTTTGACCTGGGGTTTGGAAACTGTCTTGATGTGCAAGGCCTTTAGCATTTTTAGAATTTGCGTGCAATGAGGAAGGCTGGTCATGGAGTCTGGAAGGTGTTGGATGTGCAGCTTATGGCCCATTTGAGGGGAAGAGTATCCCTGTTGTATAGTGGTCCCTCCACATCTGTGAGCTCTGCCACCACAGACTGCAGAGGCATTCGAAAAAAGACTGCGTGCGCTCTAAAAATGTGCAGATTCTGTGTTTCGAGCCCAGGAGCTTGCATATGCTAAGTCAGTGCTGTGTCATTGAGCTACTTCCCCACTCTTTTTTATTTTTTATTTGGAGACGGGGTCTTGCTAAATTGCCTAGGCTGGCCTTGTGCTTGTGATCCTCCTGCCTCAGCCTCCTGAATAGGTGGGATTATAGGCCTGTGCCATTGTGTGTGGCCAGACCTCTTTCTTGTTATTCCCAAAGCAATACAGGACAATAGCTATTTCCATATCGTTTCTCCGTATTTGGCGTTCTCAGTCCTGTGGAGATGAGTTTGCGAGGCTGTATGTAAGTTACCTGCAAATACAAAGCAGGTATTGTTTTCTGTGTGCAGCTTGTGATTTTGGTGTCCGTGGGAGGGGAATGCTGGAACTGACCTACTGTGGGGACCATGAGCTGATGGGAAACCAGTCTTTTTTTTTTTTTTTTTCCAAAATTTTATTTTATTTTGAAGAGTAAAAACAAAAGCAAAAACAAATAGCAGAAACAAAGACAGAAACAGGGTACCATACAACATTGTTTATGTTACAGATTTTTAAAACAAGAATAGTAAATTAACAATAATTGTTATATTACCTATTTTTTTTTCCTGTTGCTCAGATTAACAGACATAGCTATTCAAAATTGGACAATAGTTGAATATTAATGCTTGCTTTACATAAACCTTATTTTTTTCTTGTCTTTTTTAAAAAAAATAATTTAAAAGAATTATTTTAAAGAGAGTATAGTAATAATTGATAAGACATTAGAAATGGTATACATTTTATTTTTATTTTTATTATTTTCTTTTGGCAGAACAGGGGATAGAAATGGTATACATTTAGAAGACCAAGATGAGAGGTATCCAGCCATGGTTTTTGTATTACATATTGCTCTCCACATGCCAAAAACTAAAATTAGACCCCCAGTCTATCGCTGTGCACTAAACTAGTGTCAAAATGGATTAAAGATCTAAACATTAAAACAGAAACATTAAATGTACTGGAAGAGGAAGTAGGAGGAAATGACATAGACAACCTAAGAAGGTTGAAGGTTGAAGACATAGCAGTAGACAGAGAAGAGAGTTCATGAACAAAAACCAAATGGCATGGGAAATATTTTAAACAACTGGGGTCTCATCTCATTGAGAAATTTCTGCTAGTCAAAAGAAATCACCAACAGAGTGAAAGGACAACCCACAAATTGGAAAAAAAAATCTTAATCAGCAATCACTCAGGCAAAGGCCTTCTATCTAGAATATATAAAGAACTAAAAAAAAATCAGTCAGTTGTCTTGATTGGGCTTTTCTCAGTAATCTTTGGAGATAGAAATCACTTGTTTCAGCTGTGATCACGTCTGCCACCTTGTGGCCAGAGTGTTCAGGACTTCAGTGTCTGGCTACTCCCGCTCCTGTAGGGAAACCATCCCTAGAGGCTGTGGTGTGCCTGAGCTGCCTGTGATTGATAGCTGGCTTTGGGCAAGTGCAGGTCCTGCAGGTGTGGGTTCTTGCTAATCCCCTCACCCTGACACGATGTCAGTTTTCTAGTCCTTGTGACAAATTGTCCTGTCTGTCCCTTTTTGCTGTCTCCCTGTAACAGGCAGACTTGTGAGTGGAATGGTATAGCTGGGTAGTCTCAGCAAATTCTCAGTCATCCGGGAGTCCCTGCCCAGCCACAGCCCTGCTTTCCCTGGTGGAGAAGAGAGCACACCCTTACCCCTGCCCTCTGCAGAGGAGGCCTTGTCTTTCAGATTCTGCATGCTCCTGGGTGAGCTCAGCTTCCAGAAGTAGACAGAGTGTGATGCTGGCTCGGTGCAGTATACTCCCCTGGTGCCGAAAGAAGTGTGGGAGATGCCTTGTAGGATTAATGGAGGACTAGATGAAATCATACATGTGAAGATTCTATGCAAATTGTATTCTTTATTTTTATTTTTATTTATTTATTTATTTATTGCAGTACTGGGGATTGAACTCAGGACACTGCACTTGCCAGGCAAGTGCTTATGCTACTGAGCTATCTCCCTGGCCTTTGTATTATTTAAATAATAATGGTATCTTTTTTTTTTAGACAGAGTCTCACTTTGTAGTTCAGGCTGGCCTTGAACTCACAACAGTTCTTCCTCAGCTTCACAGGTTCTGGATTACAAGTGTGTTTCATCACACCCAGCAATAGTGTTGTTATTTTTATTATTCTTAGGTTGTTGGGAGGTTGAATGAGTTAAAAAATATAGAATGTTCCTAACAATGGCTTGGTACCTAGTCAGAAAGACTAAAGATAATATTTCCATTTTTAAAACCAATAATAAAGTAATGGGTAACTTTTATTATAATTGTTATTAATGTGTTGTTCAAATTAAGAAACATTCTTGTTGCCCTGTTTTTAGGCAGTTTACACGTGTGTGTGTGTGTGTGTGTGTGTGTGTGGTGTGTGTGGCTGGCTCAGCCTGCCCTAGGGCGAGGGCTGGTGGAGCGTGTGGAGCTGGGGATTGGACCGCAGCCCCTGTGCTCGGCCGAGCCTGCCTAAGCAGGTGCCTAGTCCGCTGGGCTATCTTGCCGGCCCTACACTGTTTGATGAATGCTCTTGGGAGTTCACAGTGTAATTTTTGTTTGCTTCCATGTCAGGAACTCAATTCTCATCCTTTACTTTCTGTTCTGTGTGTTCAGTTAATAGAAGCTGTGGCTTATGAAGCTACCAGCGTAGAGCCAGGCCGTAGTGCTGTGGCTTGCGGGTAGTGTGTGGGTCAGGTCACTGGTTGCTGGGGGCTGTGCCTGACCCTGGCTGCTCTGGGGGTGGGGGGCAGAAGGGGAGAGGACCCCTGCCCAGCTGGCCGGGCCAGCGGTCTGTGTCCTAACCATGCTGGATGGGGGTGTGTGGGGGAACAGAGACCTGGAGAGGAAGATGTCACCTCCAGTTGTTGCTTTCCTGCGGGCAGGCGTGTCGGAGCCTTGGCTTTTGAGGTGGGCTTGCAGGTGGGTGTGGTCTGCAGGCTTGAAGCTTGGGCTTGGAGGTCTCTCTACAGGAAATTACACAACAGAACTTGGAGTTGTTGTGTTTCCAGTTCTGTAAATGGCTTGGGGCAGCCAAGGTATGGGGAGATCTATATTTCCTTACTGATCCACGGGGGAAGAGGGCTTTGCTCATACACGATGTGCTTGAATCAAGTGCCAGGCTGGACAAAAGCAGGTATTTGCTATGTGCTTCACAGGCTTGTCCACAGAACCCTGCTTACATACCCGCCTTGGGAAAGTCACTTCCAGCCCAGCTCCCTGCTTGCTTTGCTGGTGTGCCTGGCTTCCCTGTCGTGCCACTCTGCCTGCCTTGAGGAACCAAAGAAGTGTGTGTATGCTCGCTGTGCATATGCATTTCCAGTTTTCTTTTTCTTTCTTTTTGTGGTCCTGGGGATTGAACATGGTCTCATGCATTGAACCACACACGCAGCTTCTCTCCATGTCTTAGTATTTATTAACTCCTCTTAGAAAACCTTGGAGGGGCTACAGAAGGAAATGTCAGCAGTCTTAGATACTGTGTTTTCCTGGAGCAGAGGATTAGCGTGCTCATAGATTTGAACATAAGTACTCCCTGACTGAGATGGTCCTCTCAGAGGCTGTTGGACAGGGTTTCTCTTGGGTTCATCCTCAGGCTGACCCTGACTGTTCAGGATACCTCCTGGTTCCTGTGCTGTTGGCCACATTTGTAGACATCGACCGCAGAGGTGAGCAGTAGAATCGGGTTGTGCCTTTTATTCGGTTTTCCTTCCTGCAGTCACACTTGGTAGATCCCATTGATTGCCACAGAATTAAGTTACATTAAGAGTTAAGAGGTCTCATCTGCTAGACTCCTCATCACCTGCCGGTGGTGGCTCTGGTGTCCAAGGCCACTTTGTTTCTTGCTTTATGTAAAATACCCTGCTGCTGGAAATCAAAGGTCTTACCACAAGGTGTCGCTGCTGGCTAAGCTGTGTGGTACACTAAACTTGCTCTTTTGAGCTATTTCAGTGTTACATGGTACAGTTTTGAAGTTTCCCGTTATATTGGTGGCACTTTCTTTTGGGTCTGTAAAAATGATTTAAAAGTCACAGTTCATAATATTCATTGTTTATTCCACATTTGCTGTGTACTAGATCCTGTTATAGTGCAGGATATGAAAGAACAAAATAAATCCAAGAATTATCCAAATACTTTCACCACACACTAGCTGTGTTTATACAGTTTGGAGCCTCGATGCAGCTCTTCGAAGTGAGGGCCATGGATATATGGAGCACCTATGTGCTTTGTTTTTACCGTAATGCCAGCAGGAAGGAAACTACCGCATCTCAAGGAGGAAAAGCTCACCCAGCGCTCAGTTGGCTCCTGGCGTTTGCCCGGGCCGCGTTCTGAGGCATTCGCAGGTACCTGAGCACCACAGCAGCATGTGACACTGGCAGTAAAATCCCATCATATATGACTTTGTCGCGTCACCATGCATGACAGGAAGAAGAAACAAGGTCTGCTGAGGTCCAGGCTCTGGGAGGCCAAGCAGTTTCTTCTCTGGCTGGTGTCTTCATGTGTAATTCAGC